AGGTTCTACTGTTGGAGATAGATAAGCTTCGTAAAACTTCTCAGACGAAAATTGCCCAGTTGAATGAAGAACTGGAAGAAGAGTGGATTAATCTTAAACGGCAAGAAACCAAGTAAATTCAAACTTTTTATTTAAATCACAGCACTTGCGGCTTTACTTCAGTGTCAATCGTGTGCGCTGTTTATTTAGTTTGAAAGTCGTTTTTGGTTTTTTGTTCTAATGAGTGCAAACTTAGTTGCTGCAGCTCTTTCGTACCCTAAAGAGCAGCATCCTTCATAAATAAATAATTGAGGAGTTACTAAATACATAGAAGGATTTAGAGGAAGTGGTCTGTCAAAATTTTTAAGTGCTCGGAAAAGTCAAAAGGGATTATTTAAAAATTTGTTCATTTTCGTCTGAACAATGAGAAAATTGCGAGTTAGAAGACTGCTACTTTCGGGGTCTTTTTTAAAACAATTTTTGCCACTTTTAAAAGCCTACCACCTAGCACGTTTTGAAGAATTTTAAAAAGTCCTCAATTTTCTAAGCTCTTTTTTGTTTGCAATTGTCAGTTACTTGTCCCGAAACAATCAGTATACATTTTCCAAATCGGTAGACGATTCAGTTGTTTACCTGAAGGCTCTCTGAGTACATTTCAACGATAGGACTCTGTATTCTTTGCACACATAGCAGTGCTACAAAAGCACTATTGTTTATAAAACTACAATGCTGGATATCATTCAGAACATTCTGGTTGTTTCTTTCGGTTCCAGCGTACGGTAGTTAACTGGGGTTGTATCAGTAGGTGTATATTTGGCAAGTCGTTCGTAGATAAACTTGCTCTCCTAGAATCGTAGAAGCCGAGAGGGAAATCGAAACATTAACTGCTGACAACGAGGAATTAAAAACGTTACTGTTTTCTGAGAGACGCAGAAACAAAGAATTGAGCAAGGGTCTGGCAGAAAGCAAGAAAAAACAACAGGTTGGAATCGTTCATCACGTACTTTTCTTGATAGAAGCCATTTTGTGTGGAGTACTCAACCATTTAATCTTAAATAGGTAATCTTTTAAAGTTTCAGTGTTTTCTCATCTTACTATGTTTCTAGAAACTAAGTGAGGAAAAGGATGAGATCAAATGTAGTATGGAAAACGCAAGAGATGAGAATAAACGCCTTAGAGAGGAAATTATTGAAAAAAATTTTTTGATATCGAAACAGGGTCTCAGTATTGAAAGCGATACGTTGGAAATAAAGGACTTGCGAGAAGAGTTAGGGGTAATTTTATTTTTAGTTTTTCAGATGTTTAATTTTGTTTCATTTACTTCATGAGGTCTAAGTAAGTAATCTTTCTTCCAGCAAAAGATATCTGAGTTTAGACTGTACAGTTCCTCCTTACTTTCCCCACAGAGTTTCAAGTTTCTCGCTAGTTAAGTATTCTTCTTACTTGCAGCTTATCACCGAAAGGACAAGATGCTTATCTGACCAGGTTGAAGATCTTCAGTTTGAAAATGCTCAAATTGCTGAGTTATATGATGAGATGCTGAGCTCTGCTGAGTCTGTGGAAGTATTCCCTGGTAGTATCAACAACGCGCTTAGGAAAGATAGTGTTTTTGAAGGCGAAGGTTTAGTGTAATATACACTGCCGTTGCTTTTTTTTATTTCTGAAGCGTCGGTTTGATACGCCGGAAATCCATCAAAAAAGGATATCGTTTATAATTTATACCTGGTTTCTCAGAAGACATAAAGGGTTTTCAGACGCGGATAACTTTGAAATGAGTCCATCAGTGAAGGAGAAAGCTTCAGGTGCATTTTCTGAAGCAGCCTGCAAAACAGCGAGGGAACGTAATGTTGGTCCAACCATTGATCATGCTTCAAATGTTATAGAAATCGCTCGTTTAAGAGGACAGTTGGAGCACGCTCGGTAATCTTTTAAAATTTCCCGTCAAGAAATTTGGGAGAAGTGCAGTAACAGTGCCGCGTTACTTTTAATCTAAGTCGCAAGAGGTTGCCAGAGAATGAGGCAGTTTTAGATTGAAACTACAGTTCCAAGAAAGAAATCACGAAGAGCTTTTAATTCGTGTTAACTCGGCGGAAAATGAGGTTGCTAAGTGTCGGAAAGAAATTGAGTCTAAGGAAGCAGAAAGAATTGATATGTACGAAGAGTGGAAGAAGTTGTTGTCAATGGTAGAAGAAAAGGTTGGTAGTCCAATTTTCAGTACCTTGTGGATTCATTGAGCTAGATGAAGATTGTCGTTTTGTAGGATTCAAAGATAAAACACTTAGATGAGGTAACTGAACGCCTAGTAGAAGAAAATAGTAAATTTCAAGAAGAAACGAAAAATTTATTGGAGCAGAAGGGACACCTCGAGATTAAGTTAAAAGTGAGCTTTAACATATATTTACAAGGCTTTCTCATATAAGTTCTTTTTTTCAATCTCGAGTTCCTCCTGAGCAACTTTAGGAAATGGAACGGAAGGTAAAACGTTTGAATAGTGAACATGATCATTCTGAGAGGGATCATTTACGGGAGTTGCATGACTTGAAGCTTCAGAATAGCGTCCTTCAGCAGGTATTACTTCTTATCCCATGTTACCAACGGCTTCTATTATCTTCATTTCCGAAGACCTCTTAAAAAATCACTGCATTGTTATGAAATACTGCTGTGGCTGCTGGGTATCCGTAACAGTGAGGGTACCACGGTCAAGTTTCCTGATAGACAGACACCACATGATCGCTTAATAATAGCGACTTAATTTTTTTGTTGCGCTTATATTGCTGACAATGACAAGATCTCTTTGACTTAATAGCCTTATTTTGCTTGGCTGTAAGTTGAGGTTGCTTTCAGCAGCTGAATTTGAGAAAGCTCAGTGGTTTCGAAACTCCATTAGAGCAAAGTGGACGCTTGCTGAGTTCGCGTTGGAGTGGCTCTGAACAGTCTTCTTTGTCGTCCAAAAGAGTGCTGCCTGAATTTGCTGTTCCCCCTCTTTGGGGTTGCAGGGAAACAGATGTTATTTTTGACATTCGGTCTTACTCAGTTATACCCATTTCAAGGTACGTATAAAGTTTGACCTCTTTGTGGTTTTTTTCCAGGACTGTTGTGAAGCTGAACCATTCAGTGTAGAACGAGACGAAGAGTCTCACGGCGACCAAACGCTTTTAGCTAATGATTCTCAAAATAAGGATGTAGAGACACTGGAAAAATGTCATCATAAATATTTTGAAGGGCCTCATGAGTCCCATTCAACTTGGCTGAAGAAGGTTTAACAGTTTTAGCCTCTCATAACAGAATTTGATTTTAATCAGAAGTGCTACTTCACTTATATCAAAAGCGCTTGCCTTTCTAAAACGTGATTTTTGAGTGTTGAGTCACTCTAAAGTTGTGCCTGTGCTTTAGTTTTCAGCAGCACTAGCTTTTCTTTGGAGTGAAACCGTTGTTCCGATACGCAGTTGCTTTAGCGATAGCAGAAAAATAGGTTTTAAGATGGTTAGGAACTATTAACGTGATTTTGAAGTCTTCCATCTCTCCGAGAAGGAAATATAACGTTTTTTTTCTTACTAACATTGTTTGACCTCTTATTACTAATTCCAGGAAGGGAGAAGAGTGTGCCCACGTCGTCGTGTCAAGTCGTCTAGTTACATGCAGGTGGGATCAGTCTCTTCATGTGGTGGTGAGTATGACAGCTGGCTCGCCCACCAGCATTACACAAGCTTTGGTAGCTTGTATGGTTAACCAGTTGCAATCCGTGTAACTTATCTTGTAAAACGTTCCGGATTCTAACCGATGACAGCAAAATAAACATTTTGGTATCGTGTAATCATTAATGCCTTTCATAAGCACGTACCGAATTATTCCAGCGGTTCGGAAACGATTCACTTTCACTTTTCCAGCGTCTTTTGGGGCTTGGTCTTTGGGAAGCAGTTCGATTTTCTTCCTTTCCGGCTTAAAACGCGCTGATCTCTCTAGGCAGAAGTTTCTTTTAGCTTGCACTTTAAGAGACTTTCAAAGAGCGACCTGTTTGGTATTATCGGATCAATTCCATGGAGGTCCAGTAGGGACTCATTCTTTTGATTACTTAGAGTAAATTGATTTTGCAGCTCCTACCTCCAGCTTATATCAGTTCTGAAGCCTTACTCCTTTTGAACAGACGGTATGCTCGTCAAGTTTCGATGTTCTAGTGCAAACACTCTATCAACAGACTCCATAAAAAAATCTGTTTATTGAGTTACTTTTCAGAAGCCCTTTCGTCATTCTCGATGGAGTCAGAAGCGAAGTTTTCGCTTGTAGGCGGGGGATGGCACCCGTGGTTTTATTACTGTACTCTCTCACACTGAGTCTCAGTAGAAAAGTTTGAAGTCGGGTTGGGTTGTGCCAACAATTAAGTTCCGTCTTTCTATAGGGATAGTCTAGATGTCAAAAGAGCGCCTCGAAATGCTTATATTTCTTTCCGGTCTGGTCGTGCATTGTGAAAGTTCAAGCAGCTGTTTTTCAATTAACGTACGATGAATTATTTGAAGTTAACTGTAGCAAATTTTAGACATTAGCATACTGCACCATTTGGCTACCAGTTTATGTGCGTTTCAAACAGATACCAGTAAGAACACTTAATTTTCTTAGAAAAATGTGCCAAGATTATGAACACGATGTTTAATTCGGAAGTAGCAGACAAAAAAAAACAAGCAAAAACAACCCAAACGACTCAAGACAGTACAATACAAGTGAAAAACAGATTGCTGACTATGATGAAAGTGGCCGCGCCGACGACAGCGTCCAATTACTGTTGAGCATGACTTCGTCGTAGACTACAGTCAGATATTCATGAGGTAGCTAAGGTTTCTGCAAGAAAATTGATAAACCGGATACAAATAAAAGACAAAAAGTAGGTCAAACAGAAAGCAGCAATATAATATGAAATAATAGGACCGTGCTGGAACAAAATTTTTAGAAAAGTTTTTGTCTTCCCCCCTCATACTTTTGATCCACAAGGCTCTTAGGTTAAATTACAATAATTACCCTCAGCTTATTGTACAAAATCAACCGCAAAGAGGCAACCAATTGTGATTCTTCACTTATCTTTTTTAAATAAGATGAATTTGCCTGCAGGTAAAAAACAAACCACATTGACCAATGATTTTTTTAAAACCTGTCGATACCTCTCCCTTCCAGATTACCGTGGCGTGGAACATTTTTCGTGAAACATCTTCAAGCGCTTTTCTTCATAATCTCTCAAACATGCATCATCTTTTGTCTAAATTCTGCTGAGATAAGCAACTTTTTTTGAAGGCATTCAATGAAATCGCCGACTAGTTCCAATAAGTTTTTGGTAAGCTAAAGAAAGATTGGAATGCCATTATTAAAGATTAGAATTTAAAAATAATTTTTAATGATTTAATGCTTTTTATGATATAAAAAAGCTAAAAGAGCCTTATTACAATAATTAGGATTTTATTTACTAAGAAAGGGCTGGACTGGTACCGCTAAAGTTCTAGAAGGGTAGGATGATATCCTACCAAAAACATTGAATGATCCACAAGTAGGCATAACACGTAGTAAGTGTCGAAAAGCAAAATGGAAAAAAGAATTTTTTGGTTGTAGGCAAGAAATGTCTGAACTTTTTCTATAAAAACTTACTGTCACATACCTATTGACTTATATAAAGAGCGAGAGTTATGCAATTCAAAAGAAATTATAGGAAAAAAATAGTAACTACCAACAGCATGCCACCTGAGAAACTATTTAAAACTTTAATTGTAAATTCTTTGGGTAAAACTTCAACTTATACGACATCACGTTCACTATTTAACCACTCTTTTTTCAGTCACAAAGTTTTGTTAATTTCAGCTGAGTCGAAAACTTGTAAAATTGGAATAGACAAAAAACAATTACCTAAAAGTCATATTGATTAGTGCTGTCGCTGTATTGCGTTTTTTAGCTTCTTATCAAAGAATTTTATGGATATCTTCACTACTTCGTACGGAAATACCTTTTTCACCATTGATTATAAACAGGACTGTAGAAAATTTACAAGTCACGGGGAAAAGATTTTCCAACAGTAGCAGGAACAAAGTGACAACCGCGTTGAGAAGGAACTATTTTTTGCGAGTGTTATTATGAAAAATTTGTATAGGTTGTTTCTGCGAGCTCAGCGTAGCCAAAAGATCCAAAAGATCAAAATCAAACTAGAAGTGCTTAAAGCAAGAAAACTTCTTTTTTCCTGCAATAATCTTGTGTGAATATAAAAACCATCAGTGTGTGCTCAGCGTTTTCCATTTATCTGCAAAAAGGTCGACCTAAATTTAGTAACCAACTGCTTTTTTAAAATATGAGGTTAATTTGGAATTGACAGTAGTGTGGATGTTCCTGTCATTTGAACTAAGAGTTGAGACTAATTGATGTCAGTGGAGGTTACGATGATCTGCAGGTTACGGATAGGCTTTAGTTGGCGTAAGCGTTTTTTATTGACTAAAATTCAAATAAAGTCTAGTGAAGAAAAAAGTAAGCTTTTCCCACTGGATTCAGTGTAGTGGAGTATGTTTTAGCTTGTTTGGTTTTTTTTCTACTTTTTTATGCCGTTAAAAGCGTTGTGCTACCTTAATTATGAAGTTACAATTAAAATTTAACAGATCCTTCTGAAACTTTGAGCTTTGTGATATTTTCTTTTGCACAGTACTTCATACGTTTAAACTTGGTGTTAACACCTTCTCATGGAATAGCATTTGTACTCACTCGCAGCAGCATTACGGTATATTTTTGTTTAGATGAAGAATGTCCAAATTTCTTATCTTCTTCTAAAATGTGCGTTTCTTCAACAGGTTAATTTTCAGGGTAAATTTATACTAGTTTTCTTCCAAATGGCTGCTGACATTGATCAGCTGACGGAACTGAAGGAACGAGTGAGTGCATCTACTGCAAGAGGAAGGAAGCGTTTTGAGGTACTCAGTTCTCAAAATTTTTATTTTATTACTGTATACGGATCTGTAGTAGTTTAATGACTTTAAAGGCTCTAGTTAAGTGTTTTTTGCTGTAAAAAGTTTGTGACTTTTGAGATGGTTTCATGGTGGTTATAAAGTCTTTAAAATTTTTGTTGCACTCGTTAATGATTTACACTCTTGTGAACAGGGAATGACAGGTCGATTTTTTAAGCTGTTGCAGTACCCAGGAATTATCTCAAACTGAAAATCGTAGGATATAATTTTTATAAAGTTTGAGCGGTTGGGTAGATAAATTAGAAAAATTGCAGAATTTTCGCTTTTCTTTTTTCATTCTCGTTGCTTATGCAAATTAAAGAATTAAGAACAAACTTTTTTTTAAATATGGTAGGGCTTGAACCATTATTTTTTCATTTATGTATTTTTGATATTATCTTAATTTTCTGCCCTTAGTTTAAGACCTTGCAGGTTTTTAGATATGCCTGTGAATAAGACATTTAGGGGTTTGTTCTGATGGTTATAAATAATAGACTTCTTTCAAGGTAAAAAAGTGGAATGCAGTTGCTCTTTGGTCGTGGGATATAATAGTGGACAACTGCGCTATATGCCGCAATCATATCATGGATTTATGCATTGAGTGTCAAGCAAACCAAGTAAACTAATTTTAAAATGGTGGAAAAGTGACACGGTTAAGAGAATTTTGCTTATTTGAAGCTGAAGATATTGCCACTGTTTTTATTTTTAAAGTTTGATTGTTATTTCAGGCTGCAACGGCGTCAGAGGAGTGTACGGTTGCCTGGGGAGCTTGCAATCATGCTTTTCATTTTCACTGTATTTCTCGTTGGTTAAAAACACGTCAGGTTTGTCCTTTAGACAACCGGGACTGGGAATTTCAGAAGTATGGCCATTAAAGTCGTCATTGTTTTTCGCTAAGCAATGCAGGGGCTTTGTTTGTGTTGTATCATAGTAATATTTTTAATACCAACCTCCCTTTCACTCCGGTTTTTAACTTTTTGTAGTTTTTAAGTAGTAGTAAAATATTCCTTTAATTTGGCAATTTGGGTCATCGTACTTAATGTACTTAATTTATAATTTTGTTAAAATGAACAGAGAAGGTTACTTATCCTTTCGGATGAGGCTTTTTGGCTCCGTGCGTCATCTAATCGCCAACCTCCATTTTCCGGGTTTAAATTCTGGGAAGAATTGACCAGCTTTTTTGTTTCATAACAACTTTGAAAATTTTCTTTTACCTTTGATAGCATATACCCTAATATACGCTAAAAAAATATATTAAAGGAACAATAAGTTACACATCTGGCACTTTCTTCAGTGTAGCATATGGTTTTTTCAAAGCAGGTAGAAATCACTTCTTCTTCTTCTTATCGCATCACTGAAAGTTTATTTTTCATCTGCACTGCCTTTTTTCATATTTTCGGAAACAAGCACGGAATTCCTAAAATCTAAGGCTAATCATACTGAACACTAATTTTTGAAACGTGTTTATGAGATTAATTTGAGTACACTTTTATCAGTTTAAACTATGGGCCATTCCACGCCAAATCGCACAACTTTGAACCTC